GACTGTTGGTCATAGGATTGATATTCATTACTTTGAATGTTGAATTCCCAAGAGACCGCAAGCTTGACGCAAGGAGCAAATTTGCTTCGCTAAGTCTACATATCTCGCTGTCTTGCTTGCGAATAACAGACTCAAAGTCTTTTTGTTTAGATCGCATAGAGTTAATTTCAGTTATTAAATCACTCGTAATGTCCACTAGGGTGCAATATCTGCTTTCAAGCCATCAAACTGCGATACAGATGGTTCAGTCAGCTCATTAACACTACTACAAACCTCTTTCGTTGATACTTCGCATGAGGGATTTACATCTTTCGGGTCCCGATTTATCAAGCTTTCGAGCTTCAACTTTAGATTCTCTTCAGCATCATCACTCTGTATAACCAGCTTTTTCGAACGAGGACCGCGCCATTTAATCATATATTCCCCTTCTCCTTCGCTTTTGAAAACTTTAACGTCGCCTCCAGGGGATTTCCACTTGCCTTTCAAGTTTAGTGCTTCTAGAACAAACCTTTCTAATTCCTCAAAGGTTTTAAGCCATATATATGTTCCACTGTCGTAAGATAGACCGTTAAGATAATTCATAGTTGATTAAAAACTAAGATTTTATTCAAAATATATAAAAATATAGCGGAGCGAAAAGCACACGTATGATAAACAGTGAAAAATACACCGCAAATTTCGTTAAAATTTGTGACGCCAATTTCGTAGCTACAAAAAAATACAAAACAAAGACGAAAAACATTTACCTTGAATACTTTGTCGTGGCTTAGGCATATTTTTAAAACAATTAGACCAGTTTATGCTTCAATATCACCCTTCTAAAGTGGAAAATATAGCAAAACAACAAAAATGCCGAGAACTTTGGCAATATTCGCAATACGCGTGACGTGATGTTTTTCAACAAGGATGAGTCAATGACGTCAGGAAGTTTCCTATCCAGTTTTTTTACAAAAGTTTACACTTGAAATCTCCAATCGCATCTATAATGTTTAATATTTTCATATTTTTCATTTCAGCACCGTGCAACAATTCTACAAGTGATGAGTATTAACTTTGTGAGCTGTTGGTTCATTGATAGACTATTGCAATTTATTCTCGGAAATGCCAGAATGAAATCCACCTGATGCAACGTCTCAAAACCATAGCGCCATTTCGATTTATTCATGAACCTGCTATACAATAAAGCAGGTTGATGGACATATAGACCATTAGCATTTATGAACCTTACGGCTTAGATCAAGGAAGCACTCATTACGTTTCTCAAGATAACCATCATCTGAAAATGCACAGAAAGTGAACAGGTGGGAAATTTGCTGTCACTGGTCAGTAAATTGCGGGCGCTCTCGAAAATTTTGTTTTAAATTATTAAAATGTGCAAAACAAGTTTTTAGGCTTCTCGTTTAGGAAGGAACCGTGGATGTGCAATAATTTAAGTTCGTTTATTCAAAGGCTATTGAAAAATGTCCTGGATAAGAGACTTTAAACTGAAATCGGGCAATTATAAACTATTTATTTCCACAACGAAGTATAAATATTTCTACGACGAAATATTGACGAAATTTAACTTTTTCTGAAGATGCAAGTTGTTTTCTCCCTGGACAGATGCAATTAAAAAAGTACTCACGTGGGGATTAAAATTTTTTCACGCATTTTTCTACTCGGAAATACCTTTAGAAAGTTTAATTTATGATTAAATTCTTGAAAACACTTAGTGCAAAAATCGTGACTTTGCTAAAAATAGGAAAAAGCTAAATTTTCAACTTAAGATTGTAAAAACTCTAGTCGAGTGCCTAAAAACGAGAGGGGTTGATACCAAAAACGGCACAACCGCCTAATATAGTCTGTAATAATCTGAATAGGTGCCTCTGAATATTCCGCTAGAAATTGTTGACACATTGTGATTTATGGGGGTGAAGGTTAGAACAATGAAATAAAAAAAATTAAAATATTTTTAAATTTTGCCGAGAGCCGCTAAACCAATACAACGCTCAATACAATCTCGTTCCCCGAGCCTGCGATCCTCGGGAAGGAACCGAAAGCTCTGGGATAATCCGTTTCAGGGAGGAATCTGATTGGCCATTGATATGGAATGCGTAGTTCAATCTTAGCCATGATTCTTGGCTTTCGGTAACGGATTATCCCAGAGCCTTCGATTCCTTCCCGAGGATCGCAGGCTCGGGGAACGAGATTGCGCTCAATACAACCAATACAACGCTCAAATACTATATTTACTCGTCCCAAGACTCTTTCTCTTAAACCGCGCAAATTGTAGCGCATGCGCAGACAAATTTCCCACTTGTTCAAAAAGTGGCCATGTCGCTGAGTATTCATTGCATGGTACCGTGGGCTCAGTCAAATATCTTCGCGCGTTTTTATGTTTAGTTTTATTTTACAGCAAAACATTTTAGTGACACGATTTATCCCGGCTAGCCGGGCTGTTCCGTGGTTTCTAAGCTGCGTTCATATGAGCCCGGTTTTTGGCGGGAAGCTTACCTAAGCAGGATGAATTATTTCTTTGTTCAATGGCTGTTTTTATCCCACCTAATATCCCGTCTCGGTGGGACGACATTAATTAAATAATGTAAACATGGCGTCATTGAAATATATTTTGTTGTAATTAAACAAACAGAGCCTTGTATTACCAATTTAATAGTGTCTGTTTAGGTCTAGTATTAATGTTTATTTTTTGTTTGCATTTCCCAACTGTGCCGTTGAGTACGATATTTTAGATCAAAATTTTCAAAAAATGTCCATCCTAGTCAGGTCGGATAAAGCCTTTATATCGAAAATGTTATCCCCCTTATGCTCAAGGTGACATCTCGCCTAACCGGGCTGGCTCTTTTTCATATGAACAAAAATTGAATTTTATATGCGTTTAGCAGTCAGGACACAGTAATAATAATAATTTAATAATTTATATTGCGCTTTTTACATACAATGATCAAAAGCGCATTACAATACACTCTATTATACATGCAACTATTAATAATCTTAAATATATACATTTAATGGAGGCTAAAAGCTAGCTTAAAAAGATATGTTTTCAGAGAGGATTTAAAAATTGAAAGAGAACTGCTACTCCGAAGGCTTACAGGAAGTGCATTCCAGAGTGTTGGCGCAGCCACACTAAAAGATCTGTCTCCGAATGATTTTAACATCTTCCCCACTGGATGTGAGATGATAATACCTGAATTGGAACGGAGCGAGTAACGTTCATGTTTCCTTATCTTAATAAGTTCCCTAATATAATCTGGCGCCAAGCCGTTAAGAGCTTTGAAAGTTAAAAGTAAAATCTTAAAATGAATCCTAAACCTAACTGGCAACCAGTGTAGTTCCTGTAAAACAGGCGTAATATGGCTGTACTTGCTAGTAGACGTTAGCAGCCTGGCCGCAGTGTTCTGAACTCGCTGTAATTTAACTATGTCACAGTCCGGCAATCCATAGAGAAGTCCGTTGCAATAGTCAATTCTACTTGTAACAAAGGCATGCAAGATCATTTCTAATTGATCCTTTGCAAGGAATTTACTTATGCGCTTGATTTTATGTAGCCAGCAAAATGTAGCACCACAAGACTTAGAAATATGGGTGGACATGGATAAATTTGAATCGAACCAAGAGCCCAGATTACGCGCTTCCGAAACTGGCTTGATCTCGGTATTGCCAACGCGAATCGTACAAGGGTTAACTTTCAAAATCTGTTGTCTAGATCCGATGATAGGAAATTCAGTTTTATCGTCATTTAACTTTAGCTTGTCCTGATACATCCATTTCCTCAAGTCACTAATACATCCCTCCATGGCAGACAAGGCCTCCGTTTGATGAGCGGGATTATTAGGATTGAATGACAGGTATAATTGCGTATCATCGGCAAAACCATGGGCATCAGGGAGGTGTGCTTGAACAATCTCAAAAAGCTTTGAAGCGTACATAACAAAGAGAAGCGGACCAAGGCAACTCCCTTGTGGGACCCCGAAGCGCACATCACAGCTTTCTGATGTAACTCCGTCAAACACGATGCGCTGGCTACGCCCTGACAAATATGAAGAAAACCACTCTAGAGCCTTTCCCCGAATACCAAAACTCGAAGACAAGCGTGACAGTAAAACTCATGATCCACTGTATCGAACGCAGCGCTTAAATCCAAAAGGACAAGTAACGTAACGCGTTGCAAGTTCATATTCATAAGAATATCGTTAGCAACCTTGAGTAGCGCTGTCTCTGTGCTATGGTACTGACGATAAGCTGATTGCAGTAGAGGATAAAGACCTGACTGAACCAAGTGGTCATAAATCTGATTAAATACAGCACGCTCAATGAGCTTAGAGATATAAGCTAAATTACTAACAGGACGCAAGTTCATAAACAGCGGGTCAAGGCCCAGTTTCTTTAACAATGGTTTGACTACGGCCACTTTCCAGTCCTCAGGGAAAACTCCTGATTCCAATGAGGTGTTAATTATTTTAGTGATCACTGGTATAAGAGACTCGATACATGATTTTAGTAGAGGCGTGGGGACAGGATCAAGACAGCAGGATGTGGATTTAGAGTTGGCAATGAGCATGCGCACATCGTCCTCCGTCAGCAACGCAAACAATCTCGTACCCAGAGCCATCGTTGAGTGGCTCTGGCCACACGGGATTGAAAAACGATCCTGATTGGTCAATCCATAAGCTATTGGACCCATACCCCCTGTGGCGTTCACATGCGCGGCCAATATGAGTGAATACGATATATTTGCTAATATTTTGCCTGAAAATTTGCTTATTTCAACGAAGTTTTTGTTGCTTTTCGTCCGAAAAAGTGGTGAAGGGATTAAGGAGTTGATTTATGCATACTTTAATTCTTTGGACAAAATAACAGACTTCGTTATGGTAATAATTCATACTCTTGGTTCACTCTGAGTGAGTATATTGATGGGAATGATGGCATATGTCTTTGATCTACTATATTGGAGTGTTATTATTAAAAAGAAATTCAAGCGTACAAGACTTACAAGCGTACACGTATGCTAGGACTGTGTTTATACAAGATTTGGGATTTTTTAATTGAACTGTAAATGTATGAATCATCATGGTTTGAATGTGACAATTAAACAGCTGAAACAGCATTTGGATTCTTTTGCAACTTGTTTGATAGAATTGTTTGATGATATAATATATTGTTTCTGTTTACAGTATTACCTGTACAACTCTGTCAGAAACATTGGTGTTAGCAGCCAAAAAAGGTTTCATTAAAGGCCATGTAAAGTAATGTAAACAAACTCTTTGTTTACATTCTGAACCCATTATATTGAATTTTAATTCTTCTGGTTTGCTATGTTTGTAAATGAATACAGACCAGAGATTCAATTCTAGAAAGTTTGGAAGGTGCAAAATATTAATAACATTCCATTATTAATATATCGGGTCCCGACCATTGGAATGTAGGCTTGCAGAATGCATGTGCAGAACAGACTTTACATGGTCTTTAACAATAGCAGTATGTACTACATACAGTATGTCATAATATGAAACCGTCTACACAATTTATACAATGGTTCCACTAAAACTGGTAAATAAATGATTGTCAACTATTCCACAGTCTTGCTGTGCTGAGTGGTTATATAGTAATACTACCTGAAAAAAAAAACAAGCAGAAACTCGACATTGGCTACTAACTCTTGACAAAGGGCCTTCACTCGAAACATCAAATTTCTGCTTGTTTTTTCAGGTAGTACTATATATAAATATCAGATGTTCATTCTTGTAATATTGGACAATTGAGTGTGCAACAATTAACAATTGTATTTGAAGTCCAATGCTCAACAAAAACAACTTTACTTTTTCAGAATATGACTACTAAAACCAAATTTTAGGTTTATTAGTAAACTATCATATAACTTCATACATCTTAAACAATTTCAGGACTGCCGAAAGTAGGGATGCAGGCAAAAGCCCAGCTCAAAAGGGGTCTCCAAAGCACAAAGAGTTGTATCAGTGCCAGATAATATGCAGTAAAGTGTAATATATTGTAAAACACCTCTTCTCCCATTTAATAATTATGATGTCATGGGGACCCCTGGGAAAACTTAATGATGTCATATGGTCTCCCTGGAAAAGTTTTACTCTGGGCCCTGCACAACCTCCCAGTGGTACCATAAAATAAATTGCAAGTTCTGAAAACCCTTTATTGATTTCAATAATATGTCATTCTACACATCAACATATATCAAGCAATACAAGCATGAAAGTGTAAATGATATTACACTTATTCAAGCAGGACATTGTTATTAATCAGGCCAGATGTGATTCTTGATTCTTTAACCTAACTTATTTTTATCACATAACTAATGAGCAATGTCACTTCTCCAACAATACTATTCCTTTCTTGAGTATTTCATTATATTAAACTCTTCATTATAATGCAACATGCCAAGCTATTTACTGTTCCAGAATACAGAACTGTATAATTTTGACTTGAAACTGATTTCCATTGTTTCTGGATGTACTGGTATTGGCATAATAGAAAGATTATCATATGTACAGCCCCAGGTGTATCTGAAAGAAATGTAATACTAAAGTTATAAAATAGTCAACCATTAAACACACACAGGTATACTGCTACAGGCTTTTGCTCAATTACTACAGCAGTACAGTCCTTCTTTATTGAGAAAAATATCTTTATTTTATCATTGTATGAAGAATAATATTTGGTTTTAAATTCCCTAGGTATGATAGATTCATAATAATGCATGTATAATAGTAATAAATACTGGGTATGATCAGCTCACAGGATGCTATAGGATTCTATAGAATTTCTGAAAATCTGCTGCATTTTTAGGGGGTACACAATATCTTTTGTGGTATCCTAAATAGACTACAATTAGGATGGAAATTCGGAGCCCAAGATTCAAAAATTAACCTTGAAACAAAATAATGACATGAACAATATAAATTCTTATTAAATTGTAACAAATTAAAGAATATTTAAAGGTAACCAAGGCAGTGTGCAACAAGCAACTTTCTTGCTCAAGAATAGCATATTTAATAAAGCTGAGAGTCATTAAATTACATTTATATAACAAATAATTAAACGTACTTATACCTTAAGAAGAAATCGGAACATTTTGAAGGAAATAGAAGCCATTTGAGACAAAATAAATGATCGATGACTCGATGAGTGTTGACATGTGTACAAGCCGGTGTTTCAATCATCTCAAATTACTTGTAAAACGGAAATCACACGTGCACTCAGTATCCTTGTTGTTCACACAAACTGCGCCGAACATATTTTAATGCTTTTGACGGGAAAATTGCGATTTTATTGATATTTTCAGCAAAAAGTTAGCTCTCCACTCCTCTTGAAAATACTATGGCGCGCGCGAATTCCCGGAGAATGGGTACGAAATAGTTAATTGGAAAATACTGTACTTTTACCGTATTTTCTAATTAACTCAACTCGTGTGGCCAGAGCCACTCAACGATGGCTCTGGGTACGAGATTGCAACGCAAATGATTCAAAAACAGATGGAGCCGGTGGGTCAGGTATAGTGCCACTATAATCCAGGACATCGTTCGTAGTCGCGATACCCAAATCGAGCTCATCTCGAATCCGAATAACTTTCTGCACAAAATGCATCCCTAACTCGTTTACCAGTGCTGTCGTATCCGTATAGTCAGAGAAACATAGCGTGTTGTTCTCAACCAAAAGGTCTTTCACAGCTCGAAATAATTTGCCTTGATTGTCCGCATTCTGATCAATGAAGTCAGTGAGAAATTCCGATTTAGCTACTCTTAGCAAATGAGTTACGATTTTTTTCCTCTTGAATGACTCAAAGTCAGCAGCAGTCCCAGAAGACCTCCATTTCCTTTCAGCTCGTCGACGCTCTCTCTTCGCTACACGAACTTCCTCCGAATACCAAGGCACTTGAGGTCTAACCGTAACAGTCTTGGTTTTGAGAGGAGCATGGTGATCCAATAAATCTGCTGGTGTGGTATTATAGCAATCTACTAGCTTGTCTAGCTCAGATGGAGGGTGCTGACACAATTTAGTAGCAGACAGATCCGCCACGAATGTGGTTGTATTAATAGCTTTCGTTTTCCTAAAAGTTACCTTCTTCCTTGACAGTTGCGGTTTGGAGAATAATATGGAACAATGGTCAGAAAAATAGATATCAGGTTGGTTAATGTGTTGCTGTAAGCCCATTGATGAAAGGAGATCGAGAAAACTACCACAATCGTTATCCAACTGCTTGTTGACATGGATATTCCCAAAGTCCAATCTCCCAGAGTATGCCTGTTCGCGGGTTATGGCATGCCACTACATAACCCGCGAACAGGCATACTCTGGGAACGTCAAAACAAACATCGTCCAAAATATATGAACTAAAAATGTAAATAAATTTGCAAAACGTTCTTTGAATGTTTTACTGTCAATCTTTTGTCGGTTTTCTTTCGCACAAGCTCAAGAAGTGTTCTTTAAGCTAAAATGGGATTATCGATGCATTTTTGCATGCATTCGTTGAGACAGATCAGGCATGCAGTGCCTGGTGTTGTACCAAAATATTGTACTGCAAGAATACAATTTCTGTCACATGTGGAGAGATGTAGAAAACTGTCAGCTGCCGCTTCATCTCAAACAGCTGTTGAAAAGGTATGTAAGATATAAAATGTCTACATTTTTGCACTGAGAATGTAAAATAGAAATATTTTTTATATTGTTTTCCCCTCACTTTAAATAAATTGCAAAATTTACAGATTATTAAATATAAATATAATGTAGTTTTGTTTGTCATGCAGCTGTTATGGCATGTATGCATGGCAGATGCAATTTGTGCAATTGCAATACACGCTTCTGGAAAGTACAATATCTTGGCTAGTCCCCTTCGCAGCCGCTTTTTGTGTTGAGGTCCAACCCCCCCCTCCACGAGTGGCTGCTCGGCAACGGTCAATTACATTTCCTTTGTCTTATGGCAGCCAATCAGATTTAGCGACATAAATATCTAAATAAATTTAGCGACATAAATAACGTAATACGTCCAAGCAGGTCATGTTTCCTAAATTTAGAAGCATTACTGTGATTGGTTGTTTTCAAGAAAGGAATGTTGTGCTTGAACTAGCTGCCGCTCTTGGGGAGAAACCTCAACACAAAGAGTGGTTGCAAGGGAGACTACATCTTGGCTAATAGATCTGCATTTTTGTGACTGAGACATTCAAAGCACTTGTCCAATCCATGTAAACTCTATGCTGAAGATACCCCAATATTAACTATTTTGTGCACAGAATGCACCCTGGACCACGTAAGCATGAAATTTATGCACCTATCAATGCTAAGCCCCAGTGTGGGGAGGGATTGGGCATATGTGGACATTTGATTTTTTGTGTGAATTTCCGATCAAATGCCTTACTCAATACTGCCATGCAAAAAATATTGGTCAAACGCCCCCACCATTTTGCAATAAATATTATCCCGAGCGCCGTGCGAGGGTACTAATCCCCCCCGGCTATTTACACCTGGGGAAACGAAAGCATTTGTGAAGTCTAAAGTTCACCAATGATCGCAGGCGTGGCTCACTGTGCGTGGGTGGTCATCCTCACTGATCTCAAAAATATGACTGTCATGAATAGCGGTCACTGATTGGTCCAGTTTAAAGTTTGCATTATAACGACTGGATGACGACAGCAAAATAGCAAACATTTCTTGATTTGATGATTGATAAATTTCTTGCAAATATATTTTGCTCGCATTTTTGCAAGATTTTGTAAATTTCAAGAAAGAAGGGGCGAAAGAATCGGCTAAAAGAAGGGAGCTGACGTTAACGAAGGTAAGTTTGTTTTAAATATTATTTTATAATTGCTTTAAAACCCGACGGCCTTTGCGTATATGAAACAACTGAAACAAGACAGCATATGATTTCAGTGTATCTTTAATATTGATTCCCTTTTTTATTATATTGAATTTTTTAAATAAAAAAGAAAGCAAACTTAAGTTATTTGCATGTGAGAATTTGAAATCATTTTATTGCAAACTCAAAGTTTATTGATAAAGCCATTTAATTAAAGGCAGTTTAGCGGTTTTATAAAGAACACTTTTAAACGTTTTGCGAATTTTTGGTTGAATTTTACCTTAAATTGAAGCTTATATTACGTATAATATCATACCTAACATATATGTGTTGGGAAGTTGATAATTTTGTAATTAAAAGTGATATTTTTAGGTGATTTTTCATTTGTAAGAATATTCTTAAAAAATTATCGTGTTACCATGACAACTACTTTAGATAACTTCATGTTCGGAAAATACAATGGTTTTGTCAGCAAGGTGAGGGTTTCTGCACACATGTATTTTCCAGTATGTTTATAACTGATTTGCTTCAAATATCCCTACCTTTGGGCCCAAAATGGCAATCAAATTCCCTAGGGTAGGGATGGAATGGATGATCAAATGCCCCACATATGCCCGACCCAGGGATGGATCCAGCATGATTTGGTAGGGGGGTGCTCTGCCAGCTCTGGTGCCGAGTTGTGTCGGTCATGTGTGCTGCCCGCCCATCAACTTGCTTCACTACTGCAAAGTCTTGCTTCACTACTGTATTTGAATTGTAATTGTTGTTCACAGTTCGCTTATCATCATGTTATTATTCAAATTACTGTATCTCATTTTGCCTCTAATATTTTTTGCTTTATCATGAAAAATAGCACACCCCCCCTGCACCCCCTCTGGCCAGGGCTAGGGGGGTGCACACACACCCAGTAAATCCATCCCTGCCCCTCCCCCCCTCCCTGGGGCTTAACATTGATCTAGGTGCATTATTATCGGATCACATCTTACATCATTGTATTTGATGTAGCGGATGCATGATTTCAAATATATCACGGGGTAAACGGGGTGGTTTGACCTTATATCATCCGGGTGATATATTTGCGTAAACTACACACTTCGATCACACAAACAAGATAGCCAACAAGATATCCTAAGGAGTGATGAATTATTAAGTTTTCAAACTTCAAAGAAATTACCTATTTTTTTAAATTATGAAGCAAATTTTGAAAAATTTATCAATATTCCGAATGATTAATGTGTGTTAATAAACAATAAAACATTGACATATATTGTAATACCATCCACAAAGGTATATGTCGTATATGGAAAGATTATTATTCTCAACTTGGGGGCTTTTAATTTTCGGTATAATATATCATTTATAGACCCTCCGCTCAGGGGATTTGGCGAAATATTTTGAAGAATCCCCCTTGCTCCAGGTCGTATACAAAATAATGAAAAATCCCCCTTGCTCCAGGTCATATAATGAATGTCATATACACCAAAACGAGTCTCTGCAGCCAGGGTGTATTAGATTTAACCCATTATAATTTAAGCTGTAACATGCGTTTATGCACATCACTTAGTTATTTTGCTTGGATCTACCTTTTGGTCATTTTACTTGTCAAGAATAAATTATAGGATTATTATTGATTTGAGGACACTTTTCAGCAGTTTGGTGTGAATATTGCTAATATAAATTATGTTTCTGAATTTGGAATATTGGGGATATATAGAACTAACAAAGACAACTTTTATAAATTGCATTAATTTATACCAAGAACCAAACTACCTTACGTTAACATATGTGAACAGAATTTGATCGCAAATTCGCGAAAATATACAGCGAAAATACAGCGACTTTTTCGATAAAATATACGAAATTTGAAATGGAAAACCTGCTAAACAGAGAGCCAAAGTAGTTTTGAAGATTCTCGACCTGAATATGTGAAGATTGCGAAGCGTTTGATCAACTTTGAAGCAAGAGATGTTGTACTTGCATGCCATGGTCTAATGAATTTCAACGCTACGCGTTGCTATACTTGCTGAATAGCAATGTATCGATCAGAAATTTATTCATACAACTAAACTAACGTCACAATGAAACTTTACAATGCGAGTATATTTGTAAAATTATGTGCAAGAATTTCTGTTCAGAATTTCCCGTGCAGGATTGTCTGATCCTGCACGGCTGTTGACCAATCAAATTGCGTGTTTCACTGTAGTTATTATATAAAGTATTTTCATGTATGGCAGGACGTAATTTGGGACTTTATTAGTCCTGTTGTCTGTGCCTTCAATTTCTTATTAGTCCTGTTGTCTGTGCCTTCAATTTCTTATTGTAAAACTAATAAAAAAATTTTAAAAAGTGCCTGTTGCAAAAAAAGAGTGTATATAATGAGTATGTTGTGACATGTACAGTACAGAAACATATATTATTGTATGATGATGACAATTACGTTATATGAGTGTGAGTTGTGTTATTTGGTACAATATTTTTACAGTCTCAAAATTATTGGGGGGGGGGAGGTCGCCCCCCCCCCCACCAGTGTCCGCCACTGTTTAGCACCCTCTAGTCATTATGCACTTGGGCATGCAGCTCATACACTAAATTGTTGAAACATTGGGTTGTGAATGGCTGAATGCAACTCATAAAGGATGGTGGCATTCATTTACTAAACTGTTTATTAGTGACAATGTGCTCAGATGTGCCCTACTTCATTATTATTGCTCTGTCTAATACTTACAAACATCAGACAATTTTATTTGTCAAGGAGAGACTGCTGGGCCTCATTGGATTAAACCAGATTAGCGGGAAATGCATGTAAGAGCAATGGACATTGATTTTTTTATGGCGGCTAGGTGTCATTTTAAAATTTTGATGCCAATGTTGGTATAGTGAAAATACCGTTTGCAGGCTTGGGTTTAGGATACCGGTACAACTAATACCTGAACAAAATTGATAAACCCAACTGGAATATATGACAATTAACAGCTAGTGACCCATTGATGTCAGCACTTTTCCCTTGACAAGTAAAATAATCTGGCGTTCATTAGAGTTAAATAATGAAATAGAGTGTATTGGAGCACATTGTAACTTAATGGGTTAACTAGACCCGTAGGCAAATAGTCTGATTAACCATATTACGGTCTGGTACTTCTTTGTTTTCAGCGACGTACCACGTAGGTATGCGCGGAACTCTTGCTATCTGCGTACCTACTTTTTGCTGGTACCGTGTGACCTTTCCAAGTCCAAGGTATTCAAAACCGTAATTTAATTGGCATATTGTGTGTCTGAGATGTTTGGCTTGAAACATGATTGGACTGATGGCACGTAGTACCTACCATAGAAACGTTGGAGTCGACTGTTTGTATATGCAATTGTTCTTCTTTTTCTACCTCGTAGTCTGGATGCACTTTTCAGAAACCTGTACTTTATGAACCTAATTTTAATGACTAAGTACACACATTTTAAGTATTGAGTTCGTGCAAGTATTGCGGCAAAACCATTGGCGTGCCATGCAGTCACGTACGTATGACTAAAAATATCGAATTATCGCACCTTGGATTAACCCAATTTGAATGCCAGCACTCTTGCCTTGAAAAATAAAGTAGGGCACAATGCAATATATAATGGGTTAACTAGACACATGGCAGATTAACCCACTGAGTGCCAGCTGCACTTTCTCTTTGAAGAATAAAATTGCCTGGCGTTACACAGAGTAAAATAATAAAGTACAGCAATATAATTGGTTAACTAAACAGTAAACACATGGGCAGATAGTCTGATTAACCCAATTTGAACGCCAGCACTTTCTCCTTGGAGAGTAAAATCGCATGGCGTTACACAGAGTAAAATAATAATTAAAGTATAGAGTACAATGAAATATAATGGGTTAACTACGCACATGGGTAGATAGTCTGATTAACTAGACACATAGTCTGATTAACACAATAAGAACGCCAGCACTCTCTCCATGATGAGTAAAATCACCGGCAGTAAAATAATAACGTAAACTGCCAGGATAAGACAATCACGATTCATGACACAACAACATTGTACAGCAATAGAAAACAAAGTGTAATAGATTATTAAATGCCTACAGGATTTAATTAGACCTTCACCTTATTCTATTTACAATGGAAAGCCAATGAATGAATTAATTAATTTATAACAGGAATTACAATAAGTGAATCAAACGCAAGCCTGATTAGATTTGTTATTCCTTATGCGAAAACCGTAACATTCCAGACCTCATTTTTTATAAGAACTTGCAAAACGTGGAACATATTAAATAGTAACTTGCGTACTAGAGATATAAGTTTGCTATCTTTTAAATCAGGTCTTAAACTCTACGACAAACATGCACTGTCCAAAACTTTCAAATGTGACGATCCGCGCACCTGGAAATCAGTGTGTGTAAAGTGCAAAAGAGCCAGATCGCTTAACAATGTAATAAGTTGTTGTTAGCAGGCTTTTAGCCAGGGTCCTAAAAGAGTGCGTCCCATTTTGGTATATTACAATACATCCACAGTAAAAAGGGGTTCGAGAAAACGTTCCTCTGAAAAACCTTTGAAGTTTACGTTACTTCATGTCAGTATCTGTTCCAAGTTCGAAATTTTTCAAACACACTTGGCTTTGTGACTTTGTGCCGCTATGCTTCTTTACTTAATTATGACATTTTCATTCAGCCAGGTACACCATCAAATTGATCAAAATGTCAAATGTATAATAATAATGAGAATTGAAGCTATTTCGTTTCAGATATATTAATATACTTACGGAAATAATTGAAAATAATTTCCCTTTCCCCCCAGAATTTGGGCGTCCAAAGGCGTCTATTTTTCGTTCTATGGGCGTTCCAGGAAGCCTGGACGCCCTTCTGGCCAAAATCCTGGTTGTTAGTCCGGAACATGGACAGTATAGATTTTCGTTATTAGCCTTATCAGTTTTAGATTGTTAAGTTGCTTTGAAAATTTGTTTTGTACAGTAATTTAATTCTTGTTTATATGGGATCCCCGTAATTGGGGAAACCTGTGGCGAATTCCCTGGCTCTATATCTTGTATTTAAATAGTAGCCGAATCTTATTAAATCATTAATATAATTATACAACTCCTACTTTTCAGTTTTTAAACAGTGACAATTAGTATTCTAGGGCCTGTATGTTTTAGACATCGATTTCACTTGTTCCGATCAGATAATTTGTAAAATAGTCCACCAAAATTAAAAAAAATATCTGTGCATGGGTACGTAGAGGGGGTTGGACAGGTACCTGGATCTCACGTGGTCTAACCTGAAGTTCAGGCCCTAATTTGAAATAGGGCCTGACACAAAACCTGTCTAGACCGTGGGACGCCCACATGTTATTTTTAGATACACATGCAATATGATTGACAAGTGTTGTAGATTTCGTTACACAAAAAAATTATATTCTCATGAACATGTCCGCAGAGCATTTTGCTTTTTAATTAAACTTAAAAATTCAAGGTACTTTTATATAATTAAGAGTCAGTTTCTCTATTTAACCGAACAGGCGAACAGCAAACAAAGATTTAATTAGTCAGTTCTGTGTACGGATTGACTGCCAAGCTTTCTCAAGGTCTCAACTCGCTGGACGCGGATATACTCTAACGACTAACGGGCTAATAACAGCAACAATTAAATTCTCAATCATACCACGAAGAAGGCGATGTAGCTCAGAAAACAACGCCGGTAGGACCTGATATTAGAAATAAGACTTTTGCCGGCGAAGCAATTTGGCAGAACATCTTGGCTGTCAACAACAAGCTTTCGAATACATGACTAGTTTGGCTGTTCTTTCAGCGTCGTGTGTGTCCAAAATTCGTCAAAGATTTTGATGAAGCCCTTTCAAAATACTGTTTGTTTGATTTATTTTCTGCCAAAAAGCATAAAAGAAAAGAAATTCGAAGAAATCGATAATGGAATTTGTTACGTGCGTTTGACCTTTATATTAATTCTCGCCTTGACCGAGCTATTTTTAAAACTGTTGTTTATGTGAACTTGCAACCAATCAAAATCCTTCATGATGCTGATCAACCAATCAGATTTCCCGTCCACCAGGTGGACGGGAATCCCACACTTTAGATAGGTTTTGTGTCAGGCCCTATTCTGTGATAGGGCCTGAACTTCAGGTTACACGTGGTCCTGCACGCATGAGCAGAACCCTAATAACACATTCTAGTGTGCGAATAGACAACTTGCATGTTAGACTAGTTTTTTATCTAGGCAAAAAAGTAAATTCCCGTAAAGAACTTATTAAAATTAGTAAAATTGCAAAATTTGGTTACGAAATGTTATAAAATACGGTAAATATACGCCTTGAGCCGAAAATGGTAACAATTTCCGCAGGTAATACAAACATATACAAAATTTGCAAACTTTCCAAGACTATATTTTCCAAGCTTTACAACATTTCGCAACCACATTTTGCAATTTTACTAATTTCATTATGTTCTTTTTAGCTGCGGTGTTTGATTCCCTTCTCTTTACTTAGATTAAGATTTAGTCTAACATGCAAGTTGTCCATTGCATCATAAATCTGTTGAATTATTCAACATTTGCTATTAATGTTTTCAGCCATACAATGATACTAAAGGCGTTGAACGAGTCGAAGTTTTGTTAATCAAGAATTTACTCGCGGTCGACAAGCTTGAACAAGGCAAAGACCTAGTAACCAAAGCAACCAGTTCAAATATTGCCGTGGTAGAAAAACAACCTTGTATGTTGGAAAACAGACACTGCAAATATAAGTTCGTTTCGCAGGATATATTATTGGGTCCAAGACATGCTGCAAAACAAGGAGAAATTTTAAAAGAACATTCAAATCTGATTGGAATTACTCATGAGATCTGGTATTGTACAAAAATAGATGATATGTGTCCAAAGACACCTTTGAAAGGGGGTATTGTCGAGTTTAGTGTAATGGACGGAGTGCAGTGTAGTAAAATGAAAGATATGTCAGTCTTTGAGAGGGCGACAAGAAGTGGACCTTCTTCAGAACAACTTTCACTTGTCTTATTGAGACTACGAGAGGAGGTGAGTTGCATGAAATGTTTTATTGTACCATAACCCTACTAGCTGTACCTATAAACAAATTATTTGTTTGGGTGGGGGGAGGGGTAAGTCATCAAATTTTTCGGAAATCGTACCATTAAAAAGGTCTGCTTTTGACAGGCAAAGACAGAATGAGTTAAACATAGGAAAAAGTTCATTAATGCGAGGTGGACTTCTGTACTTTCATCTTCCTACCCCGGCCACACCAAAAGGTCGATTCGCTTCTCTCAGTTCCTTCGCATTTGCAGTGAAGAACTTCCAACGTTTGACTTCCAACTCCAAGTTGTCCACCATGGCTATCCCACTTCTCTACTAGACGCTGCCTTTCCGAAGGCCTCCCAAATTCTCCGATTTGAGACCCTTACAGTTACAGACCCTGTTTCCAATGTCACAGGTAACAACAAAATGAAACATCAATATAGCTTTATGCTTTTCCGGCGTGTTGAAAGATTATCCCAGCCCAGCTTACTAATCAAATGCCGTTGAGGCCGACTCACGGATAAGATCAAATGAAAATTTGCAGTTGCTTTTGCAAACCGGGCACCGTGCGAATTTTGCCATCTTCACCCATTTGTTGTGCTTCATTTGCCAAATCAAAAGAACGAACGCATGATCCAGCCCGATTTTCGGTTCTGAATAGCTCGATTTGTAGGCAAACTGTGCGCGCAAAGCAGGCTGGTCATTTCCTATTGTTTAAGTTTAACTGCCCCACACTCTGACTCACCCTACACTCAAATAACCACAAAGACTTACAGATGTTGCTTCGCAACATCCGTGAGTCAAAAAGGTACCTGGAACTAGCATCATATCGATATTTGTTGATGATTCTCGCTGCCCTATTTTGCAATTTTTACAATTTATCAATTAACGTAATATTTAAACCATCCCAAATGAGCTACAATAATCAAAATACGGTTGAATTAATGCATTTTTCAAAGCCAAAAGTCTGAAAATGAGACACTGGAGTCAGGTTGCCAAATGCAAAACCTGTGATTTTAATTATAGATTCTGCCACCATTATTTCCGCACCAATGTCTCAATACCATGTGAAGCACCATTTCACGTGTACTTCCTCCCATCCCACTTACTGCATGAGGTCTTCTGCATCTCATGCAGTAGATGTGGCATGCTTTATATTGGAAGAACTGGAAGACCTTTGAGGACAAGGTTTGGTGAGCAATGACGTGCCGATCATTGGCAATGATGCTAACCAGCCCAGTGTTGCCAGACACTTTAATGCTGGCACACTTCAGATATGGAAATTCGAGCCCTCTGTCCCATTTCTGGAAGCAACAAAAGACACGAAATGCGCCTTATACGCCTCCAAACTTGGCACCGTCCACCCCATAGAAGTAGTGGATATAGAATGCGTACTTGATCACGAATCATGTCTCCCCTTTTTCTCATGCGTGCCCTTATAAATCCGCCATGTTGAATTTGACCAGGAGTGCAAACTACAATAATAAAAGTAATTGTGTACGTTTAAAAAGATTATTGAACTCAAATATAATATAATATAAATTAACATTTATATTATAAAAGAGTTAGAACATACCTATTGAGTTTGAGTATGTCTTGATTTTTAGTGTAAAGTTTCACTTTACACTGTTGCGATGGCTGGCGAATTCACACGAATCAGTCATGCATTCATTCATTCAGTCATTCAGTCATAGAGTAAACTTTTCGGGGGGTGCATACGATTTATGTTTGTAAGTGATTTATTGTACTTAATCAGTGTTTTGAAGGTTATTTAGGCAATTTCAGTTGTCTTACTTTAATATTCTTTTGTACTTTTGCCAAGTTCACAAATATTTCCGAGGAATCGTTGTCGTTATTGTAATTTTTTGTAAATTTTAGAACATTCGCTTCTCATGTTGTGAAGGATCTTTTTCCCGGAACACCCGATTTTTTCCTTAGCCGCTCAAATGCGCATGCGCTATCAAGCCTTAGATCAACGATGGCGTGACGATGCGACGAAGGAGCGACACCTCTCTCCTCCGCAGAGGTTTCGGTGTTATCGAAGAAAGCGGGAAACCTCTGCCAGAAGTCACGCCCAATAGTTCAAAATACCGGGGGGAAGGAGGAGTTTGTGAGAAATTTGTTAATTGTTATTGTTACATGTAATTGTTAATTTGTTATTCTCAAAACTGTCAAAAGTGTTTATATCTATGTACGACGCAATTTTAGTAGAAAAACTCGACCTAAAACACTCTTGTTTTGGAAAAGCGTTATTGTTAGAATGGAGGAATGGGAAAACGTGTTGTCATGCTTGTTTTACAGAATATGGGAAAATCGAAATATTTTTTAGGAAATGGACCTTATGTCCATTACAGATCGCTTCATCGGCGATCGGATTTCAGCGAAGAAACAACGGTTAAAAAAGGAGTAGAACTACTGCATGACTTGGTTGCAACTGAAACTTTTAACAATCTCCAAAAGCTTTCCAATATGAGGCGATTAACCGCTTAGGTTGTTGTTCATGTTCAGCTTTGGATGGGCTTAGTTGATGTTTACATGCTTGAAATACAACATCTGCATGCTTGACTATCTATATTAAGTAAAAATGTGCATAAATGTAAATCAGGGTAGCCTGATACAGGCAGATTTTTATAAAAATTGAATCCTATTTGACATAATCAACAAACTATTGTTTACCAATTGAAATATAAATCATAGATGACATGATATATCTGACATATATGCCTCATTTTTATACTAGACGGCAGACCCATCAATTTTGCATTTCCATTTACAGAATTACAGTACAAATTACTTACTAGAAATACATGCATGCAGCAACCCCTCGCCCATATTTTCCAAACATTGATGTAACATGAAGTATTAGCAATTGATCAACACTGATGAACGCAGGCTCGCGTTACGTCAGTGTTGCCATGGCAACTCGATACGATAACACAGAGTAGATAAGACATGCAGAGACGTAACTGACCGTTGTAAACACTGCGGAAGATTACGTTATCATGTACCCACTTTTTTTCAGGCGACCGTGCGAAAAATGATCAACTGCGCGTGCTCAGCAAGTTTAAAGTGAGTCGTCATCAGGTCGTCATCCAATCAGATGCATGCATCTAGTAACTTGCCGAGCATGCGCACAAAAAAGTGGGTACATCAGTTACGTCTCTGTATGTCTCTACTCTGTGGTGAGGATGACCACCCACTCAAGTTCGTTGGTCACGCCCGCGATATTTGATGAACTTTAGAATTCGCTAATGCTTTCGTTTCCCCGGGTGTAAATAGCTGGGGGGAATTAGTACCCTCGCACGGCGCTTCGCGCCGTCGGCTCCGGGATTAAGATGAAAATTAGGAGATTTGTGTGAGCGTTTCAGTTGTAAGTAAATTGTAGGGATGTCAATGTGACGGTTAAATGTTTGTTTGTCTAAACTATGCCATGCTTCTTTAAACTCACGGGCATGTTTAGTAGTTGCTTGTCCTATAGGCATCTCGTTTGAGACCAGTCGAATTTATGTCCGTTGTCGTCTGTGTGTTTAGCTGGAAGTGAGCTATGGTAGTGTCTGTTGATTGCGTTCTGGTGTTCTGTTAGTCTTGTCTGAATCTTTTTAGATGTTTGTCCAATGTACTTATCCGGACAGTTTTTGCACGGGAAGATATAAATGGCGTTATGTTTTTCCGTTATATGTGTCTTGTCTTTGTGTTTAGTGAAATGCCTGGATTACAAATCTTCAAATCTATTAAATATATATATATATATATATATATATATATATATATATATATATATATATATATATATATATATATATATATATATATATATATATATATATATATATACATGGCATATGTGCGAAAACCTGAATCCGGGACGAAAGTCCTGAACATGACCCCGCCCCCCCTGAAACGGCAGTGTCGACATAGCTCTAACTTCCGAAAAGGAAAAGCGATAGCCTTTCTGAAGTGCTGATAGTGTTTAGAAGGGTTGCTTTTAGGGGTGGTCATTGGAAGGAAAAATTTGTCGAAGTATAATATTTTACCAGAAAATGACTATGCACCACCCCAGGTAAATTGCTGATTATGCACAAAATAACTAATATGCCTGGCAGAATTTAAATATTCTTATTTCCTAAAAAAAATTATCATGGGGTGAAAAACTATGCTTAATTTAATATAAATATTGTTGATTTCATAAGGATTGTCATTGTTTTCTTTAAATATAATACATTTTATTTCGCTTACCCCCCACGGTTTGGTGTAAAATAGTTAATATTTTCTGACCGAAATAATAATTTGAAATGTGCCTACCTCCTGCAAATGGACGTATTTGGCCAAGTTCTCCACTTTACTCCGCTGTTTATCGGCGATCTCGTCGACATCCTACAAAAAATGTAAATCATCTCAGACATAATGGTATCAAGAACATTTTAAACAAGTTTCATCTTGGTTTCAAGTAGATCATACCTGTTTAACCATCGACAAGGTAAATCCACAACTTTGTCCAAATTCGGCGCCATTTTGTCATCCCATGTCGCTTGTTAGCAATTCAGCCTTGTTACTCTTCCATCCAAGCCATTTCCATTCCACTAATAATAAATTTAACCCTTTATAACAGGAGGAAACTAAAAAATATAAACAAAATATAAGAAATACGCCATTTTATCACCATGTAAAATTTTGCTCACGAGTCTTTCAAAACATTCCGTACAAATCTCGCGTGGTTTAGCAACAGGGACGTGACAGGGGGGGGTAGAGACTTGAAAAATGAAAGGAAAGCCCACACAGTATGGTAAAACCAACAATCAACATTTAATTTGTGAAATTATTTCATTGCTGTAGGCGGGGGTGTGTTTTCTCCCTCGTTTTTGTTGACATAGCACTTTGTCTCCGACCTTGATCTCGCTTGTTTTGACATGCTTCTTGCTGTCTGCTCGCAGTTTCATATTTCTTTTGCTGATCTGGTCGTTCTTCCTGACTTCCTTGTCGTAAACCAGTATGGTTTTGTTGGTGGGTGTCGGTAGTCTTGTTTTGTATTTTCTCCCATTAAACAGGAGAGAAGCTGGCGATTTCTTTGTCATTGGATGTGGAGTGGCTCGATATGCACGCAGAAATTTGTGGAGTTCTTGGCGCCAGTTTAATTTTTCCTCTTGCGCTGTTTCGATAAGTTTTCCTAGGTTTTTCATGAAGTTCTCCGCGGTGCCATTTGCCCACGGAGGCATATGGTATTTTCTTTTTGTGTTCAAAACCCATGTACTTGGCATATTGCCTAAACTTTTCACTGTTATATGGTGGCCCATTGTCACTTGTTATTTGTGTAGGTATTCCAAACTGAGATAGTACCTTGTCAAGAACAGGTATGCAGGTATCCGCTGAGGTGGATCGAACTATTTCTACCGCTGGATATCTCGAGTATAGACATTGGACGACCAGAAGATATTCCCCTGTTGGAAGGGGTCCATGGAGATCTGTTGCCAGCACGTCCCATGGCTCACCAGGTAGCACTGTAGGTTTTAGTGGTTCCTGTTGTGGTGTTTTCACTGTGATCTGACATGGCATGCAGTGCGCGATTTCCTTCTCCACACGTTTGTCCATTCCTGGGAACCATGTCGTTGCTCTGAGAAATTGTTTCGTTCTGACAATTCCCTGGTGGCCCTCGTGTGCCAGTGTGACCACTTGGTTCCTTAGACTTTCCGGGACTACCATTTTACTTCCTCTTAGTACCAGTCCTTCCACTGTTGATAGTTCCTTAAAAACATGTGAGTATGGCATTAGCTCTTGTTTGTCTGGGTTGCTGATGTATCCTGTTTGAATGGCTTGGATGAGGCGTTGCATTGTTGGATCTTTTCCTGTGGCCGTCTTCATTTGTTCTAGTGTCACGGCCACAGGTAGGTCGTCTCGGATGATGGCCTTTATGTGATGATTGATCAACTGTGCCTCTTGTTGTTCTTTTTGTTCCCTGGAATCTGGTATTTGGGTAGGATGTCGGGACATGTAGTCGGTTGGGTTGTCTTTCCCGGGTTTATGTTTTAAGTTGAAGGTATATCCTTGTAGATTGAGCTTGTGCCTGTGTATTCTTGGGGGCATGTCTGCTCGGTAGCTGTTGTAAAGCGGTAGTAATGGCTTGTGGTCTGTGATAACGCTGAATTCTGGTAGACCATAGAGATAAATGTGGTTTCTTCTGATCGCAAATTCGACTGCTGCGCTCTCGAGCTCTATTTGAGCATACCTGGATTCAGGCTGTGTGGTGGACCTGCTGTCATACCGAACTACCTTGTATTGCCCTGTTTTGGGGTCGAGCTGAGTGAGCATGCTGGCTAGTCCATATTTAGAGGCATCGACAATGAGTTCTGTTGGTCTGGTGGGATCATAATATGACATAACTTGAGGGCTCGCCATTGCTTGTTTCAAGGTCTCGAAAGCTTTCTGGCATTCCTTCGTCCACTGAAACCGGGCATTTTTCTTCGTTAGGTGCCGTAGCGGTGCGGTGGTTTCCGAGTAGTGTTGTATGAAGTTGGCACTGTAGTTGGCCATCCCAAGGAATGAACGGACCTCTGCAACTGATGTGGGCGCTGGAGCTTCGATTAGGGCTTTTACCTTGTCTGCCGTTGGTGACATGCCTGCTGCTGAGAATTTCATCCCAAAAAATTCAATTTCTGGCTGGTCAAACTTGCATTTGGGTAGTCCCAATGTCAATCCACAGTCTTCGAATCTCTGTAAGACTTGTGCAAGAGCTATGTCGTGCTCCTGTTGTGTCTTTCCGTACACAATGATATCATCATACAGGTTATCTGCATTGTCTATGTCTATCAGACATTGCGAAATCTCTTCGTGAAATAATTCTGCTGCTGAGTTCGTTCCAAAGTTCAATCGTTTAAAACGTCGAAGTCCGCGATGAGTATAGAATGTTGTCATATATCTCGACTCCTGTTTTAGCTCCAGTTGCATGTATCCCTGTTTCATGTCCAGTTTAGTGAAGTGGGTGGCACCATTCAGTTTATACCTCAGTTCCTCTAGTGTTGGTATCACGTGTCTTGTGCGTTTTATTGCAGTGTCTGCGGTTGTCATATCAATATTCATTCGAAGCTGTGATGGATCTGCTTTCGGGGTCAGCACTACGTTGGATATCCACTCCGTTGGACCTTCTACTTGTTCTATGATGTCAGCCTCCTCGAGCTCCTGAATGATTTCTTCAAATTGCTGTCTCTTTGGGAATGGAATTCTACGTTGCGCCTGAACCTTTGGTTGGACCGAGTCATCAATTATTAACTCCACTTGACGATATTTGTGCTTTCCAATGCCTTGGAACACTTTGGGGTGTTTTTTTACTATTTGCGACACTGGTGATTCGCCGGTAGATTTCTGTTGATGGAGTTGTGTGACAAAGTCTGTGACTTTGGATAAAGGTGTCAACTGCTTCGCCATGTTTGAGTATGCCATATGGGTCCCTTGTTGTTTGGTCACCTTTTCGGGCAATGGGTTGCTCAATTCCCTTTCGGGTTGTTGTACTTGTAGAAGTTCATTTACACTGATTTTCAAAATGTCTAGATCAAAAGCTGTGTACTTGCCCATAATTGGAGTTGATGTTGGTTTCTCTGTCACATAGAATGTTGCATTCACCTCCTGCCCATTCGCTCGAACTTTCGTTTGAAGCATCCTTTTACTGGCAACGGCTTTGATCCATATGGTTTCAATTTTGCCCCGGAATTTCTCAGTGGGGGCCGTTTGTGCAATGTTTTGTATGTTTTGTAATCCATAACGTTGACTTCTGCACCCGAGTCCACTTGTACTTTTAGCCGTTGGTCTTGTACTCTAATTGTTACCGTGGTGTTGTATTCTGATGGTTGTGACATTGCTTTTGTGTCCGCGGTCACTTGGTCAAGTTTCCATGTCAATTGGTCAAACTTGTATGAAACCTGGGGATCTTCGTTGTCACTACCCTCTTCTTGGAGCTGTTCTATCGGTTTATATGCTTTGTATGTTTTGGATTGACAGACTACTGCGAAATGTCCTTTCTTCTTGCATTTATTGCAGGTGGCCCCGCGTGCCTTGCACCTTCCCTTGTGGGGTGTTTGTTGACCACAATATTTACAAACTACCAACGTGCCTTTGTTTCTGTGTATTTGTCGGTCGTGTGTTTCTTCTTGAGATGTTTGTGTGTAACCCCCTTTTGTCTCATGGCTTCTCTTTGACACTGCATTTACCGCTGGCTCTACAGGTTCTAGAGTATTTTGCTTCATGAAGGTCACCTCCCTTTGTGTGAGCTCTAAAGCTCTGGCACTGTCTATGAGTGTTTTCAAATCCATATCCTTTGCTATAATGTCTCGTTGGAGTTTGTCTGACGGAGTGTGTAGGGTGACCACTAGCTTAATTGCTTCATCTAATGTCATGTTCTCAAATTCACAGTCTTTACCTTTTGTTCGGAGTCTGGTTATCCAGTGGTCATGAGTTTCCTCTGGTGATGTGGGCTTGGTGCAAAAAAATCGGTATCGATCCGCTGTCAAATTCTTTTTTGGTGAGAAGTGTGCTGTGAGAGCGTCCTTTGCGGCCTTGTAAGTATCCCCCTCGACTGTAAGGGTGGAAAAAATCTCCCTGAGGGTTTGTCCTCCTACTGTGAGCAGTGCTGCCCTCCTTTTCGACGCTCCCTCCGCAGGGTCAGTTACGCCTTCAAAGTCTAGCACTAGTTCAAGGTTTTCCAGCCATTCTTTCCATCGTCGATCTACGTTTTTGCCCGTATCCGATAATTCCTCTGGTTTAAATTCTGGCACACACGCTTTAATGCTTGTTAATATTGCTGTGGCCATCTGTACTGTGATGTTGCCCCGTTTATCTGCTGAGATTATAATCTGTGTTTTCCTGTATAATTTTCAAACAAGATGGCGTCCCCTATTCCGTATCGTCGTATCTGTTCAAATAATTCGCTTATCCTACCTCGTAAAGATGAGGAAATGATGTCGCTGTGGCCGTGTTGTAAGCCTGCTTCCTTGGTTGGTTTCGATATATTTTTTAGCTTATGATCTCATCCTCGTCGCCATATGAACAGTCTATTTGATAACAGTTTAATTATAACACAACACTTCACAATACGCCGATCTAAGAGAGCGGGAGTTCTCTAGTGTTTCCACTTACCGGCTCGTGTTTCCACTTACTGGATATAACAATTTGTATGACTTTTTCATATTAATAAATAATAATATGTATATATTTGTCGCTACAAGAAATAAAACAAACATTTGTATGATTGTATTTAGCTTTTAGTCTATTTCACGCAGCCTTCTTCTATCTTCGTGAAATAATTCACCCCCTCCTGTCACGTCCCTGTTACTTTGTCACGCGATATTTGTACGGAATGTTTTGAAAGACTCGTGAGCAAAATTTTACATGGTGATAAAATGGCGTATTTCTTATATTTTGTTTAGATTTTTTAGTTTCCTCCTGTTATAAAGGGTTAAATTTATTATTAGTGGAATGGAAATGGCTTGGATGGAAGAGTAACAAGGCTGAATTGCTAACAAGCGACATGGGATGACAAAATGGCGCCGAATTTGGACAAAGTTGTGGACTCACCTTGTCGATGGTTAAACAGGTATGATCTACTTGAAACCAAGTTGAAACTTGTTTAAAATGTTCTTGATACCATTATGTCTGAGATGATTTACATTTTTTGTAGGATGTCGACGAGATCGCCGATAAACAGCGGAGTAAAATGGAGAACTTGGCCAAATACGTCCATTTGCAGGAGGTAGGCACATTTCAAATTATTATTTCGGTCAGAAAATATTAACTATTTTACACCAAACCAGTGATAATATATTTAAATAAGTACCATTTATGTTTCTATCAAAACGATTTAGGGAAGAAGGTAATGTAAGTCCACTGCTGTTTATCTGAATTTGCAAGCCACAAATTGACGTTTAACTATGATTATTGCATGGCCATTTTCTTGTGAAATATTAGTGCTTGGCATTTCACACTTACCAATGACCACCCCCAAAAGTACTATCTCTGAACCATATAAGCACCTCAGAATAGCCAAAGCTTTTATGGTTTGGTAGATAGCAGTATGGCGAAAGCGTCATTTTTGGGTGTGGTCAGTTTCAGACGTTTCGCCCCGGATTGGGGTTCGGGCAGCGTTACCATGTTGACCGTCATGGTCAACTTACCCTAAAACAGTTGAGATTATCTGTCCTAAATGAAATGCATACAAACTCATATACAGGTCCTAGACTAATTGTATTTATTGTATTTTTATGATTTATAATAAAAACAATAAATATTTGCGTAGTTTTGTCATAAATCATAAAAATGCAATAAATACAATATATTTAGTTATGTTTCTGTGGTGGCGAACATATTCGTGAAAATATTCAACCCCCCCCTGTCATGTGTCCACGAGAAGTTTTCGCGAAGATTGCGCGTGACTTTCAAATGATTTGTTTTTTATTTTGAACCTAAATGGTATACGGGAGGATTTTTCCTTCCTAATGGGACAAATGTTGCCAATTTTTGGATTGGGACTATTCTACAATGAAGTACTCTTGGATACTGTAATCTAAATACATATGGAAACGAAGAAGTTGCATTTATCAGACAGAGAAGCGGCGAGCCATTAAAATGGCGGCAATTTGGCGGAATATCGAAGGACACAATATCGAAGGTAAAATACACTGCACTGTTACAAAAGTGGATGAAACCTTCTCTGAAATCTTCTTCAGCCATTTATGATTATGTGAAAGTACAATAACTGGATGATATTTGCGAGATTCGGCGATAAAAAGCAAACAAGACGGCAAAATATGGCTGAAATCGTGTTTTCGTGGGGGGTAAGTGAAATAAAATGTATTATATTTAAAGAAAACAATGACAATCCTTATGAAATCAACAATATTTATATTAAATTAAGCATAGTTTTTCACCCCATAAAATAAGAATATTTAATTAAGAATATTTAATTTCTGCCAGGCATATTAGTTATTTTGTGCATAATCAGCAATTTACCTGGGGTGGTGCATAGTCATTTTCTGGTAAAATATTATACTTCGACAATTTTTTCCTTCCAATGACCACCCCTAAAAGCAACCCTTCTAAACACTATAAGCACTTCATAAAGGCTATCGCTTTTCCTTTTCAGAAGTTAGAGCTATGTCGACATTGCTGTTTCAGGGCGGGGTCATTTTCAGGACTTTCGTCCCGGATTCAGGTTTTCGCACATATGCCATGTTGATCGCCATGGTCATTTTACCCTAAGACAGTTGAGATTAATGAATCGCATACAAACTCATATACAGGTCCTAGACTATAGGGAACATTCTGCAGTCATTTGTAACCTGCCTATCTGTTATTGGCATGAGTATATCTACATTTAATTCATATATACAAATCATATCAAACTAATACAAATCAAGCAAGTACAATCAATATATAAAATAAGTATAGTTGACGTATATAGAACTCAAAATTGATAAAATATAGGCATGAACTAGCCTCCTACGCAAGCATCGCCTTTAGATTAGCGGGCAAAATTTGCTTGCGGGCGAAACAAATTGTAAAGTAAGTGAATCACGAGATGCCTGGGAGAAGGTGTGCCGACATGAACGGGAGGACTCGAGGTCCCATATAAGACACTCCATACCAATACTAATGAGAGTCTCCCAGTGGCGGTCTGTGTTCCTGTCTTCCCTTGGAAATTTTTCTTTTGTTCCCTTGTTCCCCACAAAGATTTCACTATGTCCTCTTGTATCCCGCAGCTTATACATGTTCCTTTGTTCTCTATTATTTTTTTACTTTGTTCCCAAAATATGCCTTGTTCCCCGGAAACCCTTGGTGACCCTCACTAATGTTGCCAAATTACAATTACAATTTGTGATATGGACATTCACGTAATAATGGGTACGTACACGTATGTCGGCGTCAACTGTTATCACGAGTGAATCTTTGTAAATGCCTTGAAGAGTTTCTAATAATTAGCCTTTCTCACGCCGCCATTTTTGGAGTACTGCATTTTCCAAATCTGAGATCGTGAATAAGGGACACAGTGAATAAGAGATTTGTATAATTATAATTGTGAGTATATCATTATAAGTCAATTTGTCAAGTTACATCGCTTAGATTTTTCACGTCGTATTAAAAAAAGTACTCCAAAAATGGCGAATTTGGTCTTCGTGAGAAGATCTAATTATGAGTGTATTAGCTGTCATCTTCAGAACTCCGGCATGTTTTATCCACTTTGTGGGAGTTCTCGAGACAACTTAATTATTTGATCGGGGATCGGGGGTGACAGGTTTTGAACAACTGCCCGTGTAACATTATCCAGCAACACTACTATTCAGCATATGGTATTGTCTTGCTTTGCAGAACTTTGGCTGACCGTTTTCTTTCAGGTTCAGCTTAAAGTTTGCTCTGGTAGGTCTTTAGCAGACCAATATCTTCTTCGAAAACATCACTATACTTATTGAGGATCTCTTGTAATCGGGGTGATGGATTTCCTGGCCGGTGTTGTGGTTGCCGCAACATGTTGATCGCTTTCCAATCTAATATGATCTTTTCTATCCAGTCTCGACCAAATACAAACATAGCTTCTGCACCACTCATCAACACTGTATGCAAGGGGAGGGGGCGGCCGCCCCCCCCCCCAAATGTTTTTTTAGAGTCTAGTTTTAGATTTGTTCAAATTGGGGAGAGGGCTCGAAAATGTGCAGTTCAGCAAAATGCTATTAGGGACCTTAAGCAAACAGGACGGCGCGCGACGCGACGACGACGGCTATTCACACAATGATATTCCTGATCTCGTACAAAAGAAATGAATAATTAAAAGCCCCACGGGAGTTAGAGGCGTTGTGTTGGGGCATTTTACAACGGCAAACCAGAGATTTTCACGTCTCGTGTACAACGCAAACATGTCAAGACGTGACCATAAATATATTAGCCTTTGTTTTACTGAATTTCTTCAAACTGAACTAAATTCATATACATGCAGTGAATAATACAAAACAACTCTTCACAATAATTTATTTGAAGAAGTTTGTTTTGGCTGTCGTCGTCGCGTTGCCGTCGTACATGCTTAAGGTCCCTATTGACGTTTGGTCGACGAAGTAAGCGAATTCCGCCGGGTTTCTTAATTTCACTGCGGGGTAAACAGCTTCTAATAATGTTAACCTGCAAACAGGCTGACCTTCCACTGACGTATGAAGGTTGGTTAGCACTATTTTCCATCCAGCAAACCGCCGTATCGATTTTCTAAAGTCGTTTCTTTTTCTGATTTTTTTATTAATTCGATTAGGGTTAGAGTTGGGGTTGCGGTTAGGGTTAGGGGTTAGAGTAGGGGTAGGATTTGGCTTTGGTTAGTTACATACAGTGGCAGGGACGCCGGAACTGGGGGGCAGGAGGGGCAGCCGCCCCCGTTGCCCATTGCCAGGAGGGGCAAGGGGTGCAAAGGTGCCCTTTCAATTTAAAGGATTGCCTTGGCGAAATAGCGAATTGCCAGAAATGTTAGTGCAATTCTTTTACGAATTTGCTTCAGAAAACGCAAGAAATGCAGTCATCGAGCTTCAAGAATAGCACAATCGCCTGGCGGAGAACCCCCTCACACCCCTATCATCCAAAAATAGAAAACATGATTAGGCGAAGTTCAACTCCCGATGTTTTGCAAACATCTCTTAGTATATATCAATTCAAAAGTGCCCTTTCACGAAAATCTGCCCCCCTTGCCTTCACATCGTTCCGGCGTCCCTGTACAATGGTTACATATCTTCCAAATTAATGACGTCAGGTCAGTTTGCTGGATGGAAAATAGTGGGAGAAAACATGTGATCACAGCCCGTTGATGGAGCTAGTTCTATAAAGTTTGGTTTGATATCTCGCTGAAATTCATCGCAATTGTGTTAAATCATTTTGGGAGAATAATGTCTGTTAAGGTTAGTTTTTATAAATGGTTTGGTCGAATAAATATACACCCACGTGGGCATATATTCTCCGATCCGAGTTCGTGTTTACCAGGTTGGAATCCGTGAATGTTTAATACACTGGTGTAAAATGTTCGGCGTAAAATGTTCTTAATGTTTACGCCATTGGCGTAAAGCTAACAAATGAAATAAAAATCTTTGGCAATTTTGATGTTTTTGTGTAATATTGTGAAGATTTTTGAATATTGAAAGACTGACATTTGAAATAAGTGTATCAACTGCAGTCAATTAACGGTTTAACCTTGTGTGACACCTCCAACATGCAAAAACTTTATAACTTTCTTGTCTGTCATATGACTGGCATACTGATGTAAGCGGCTTATTGGCATAACCTTTGGCCTAAAATTTTCACTGATTCCAACCTGGGTGTTCAATGGGGCCGAATGTGCAACAGCCCCCCCCCCCCCCCCC